TTTGCTAAAAATTTGCTGGAATAATACCAAAAATCATTTCGAGGTTCACATGGCCAAAGAGCGAATTCTCAAAACGATGTCCTAGAGAAAAAGAATAATCAAAACTAATTAATTCCACCCAATTTCAGAGCAATTTTGTTGACTCTGTACCTCAATAAAGTTCATCTTATAGGTACGCGCCAAATCATCCTTGGTGTGTTTCAGCGACAGAAAAACGAGCAAAACGTTAACGGAAAATTTGCGGTAGGTCACTTTCTAATCGAATTAATGCATGAAACCTTCACTGCATTGAACATGCACCTCATGAGAATGTACAAATGCACACAATTAACCTCCAAAATATTGGGTTGGTGCATAATATCGTAGCGCTTGCATTTTTCATTTTTGCACGCAAACGTTTTGTGAAGAAATTAAAAACATAAAACTAATCAGGGATGTCCACTTTGCCATTATTTACGACTTTTCCTATTTTGCAGAAAGTCACTGGATTTGGAATTGAAAAAAAGATGTTGGGCTCTCGAAGTCTTCATTATTTCGCAATTTGTACGACATGAATACGGTCTTAATTTGAGTGAAATATGTAGGGTTGGTTAGAGAGAGGTTCGATAAGAACAATGGATTCTGAAGAACTTTTGTTTTGACGGTATTTTTTTCTTTATGTGAACTGAAAAATAACAGCTGTCGAAATGCCGATTTCTGCCGTCTGGATTTTCCAACTTCTAAGCATTATGTATGAGTACAAATATAATTTTGAGGGAAATGACGAAGTAATTTTTGTAGAGCGAAAAAAGCACTTTCAAAAGGTATAGGCGATTTTTAGGGTTTCTCTTGTACTGATTGAATTTACACGCCCAAAAAAACGCTACGATATTATGCACCAACCCAATATAATCACTATATTTCTTACGTGTTCTCAGAACTAGGATCAACAAGATTCTAGACATATGCGCCATCCAGGTATTTACCGAGGACTAGGCCCTAACGGAATTCAATACAACATTTTCATGAAATATATGGGACAATAGGGATCAATGACAGGTGTTAAGGTAATACATTTCCTTGGCGATGGCCGAATGGAACATCCGCTCTACTGTTTCTCGAAGCAGCCTGACAATCGATACTTGGGTGAGTTTTATACCATTAGCTCATCTAAAAGGGTGAAAATCTAGTTTGGGGGCCACTTCATTGTCTTCTCCAATTACTCGTGATAAGAATGAGAAGATTCTCATGACTCGTAATCGAGCCCAAAAAGTATTTGTATGTTCTGATAAGTATTGGTGTAGTTGGGACAGTTTCCTGTGATGCCTTCGCGTTTTACACCTGCGCATGGGTCTAGCTGGAGCGATCCTAAACCAGAGGGAATGGAAATCTTTTGGCCTTAGGCGCTGAGAGTGGGCGGAATTCGGGTGGACCGGAAATTGGTCCACAGAATCGGATAGGATGTGGGCAGGAGTTGTGAGTTGTGAGTTGGAGGATATTCACCAGTCCTTATCAAAAGAGTACTTCAAATTAGTCATTCACATATTATCTTATCTTTAGTCTCGGAGGGCCTTACGGAGTGCTCTCTAGGACTGAGGACAAGATACCAAGGAATGCTCCTCCCGAAGTAGATTTTCACCTCAAAAAGTGATTAGAAAAACTGGAGAGAGAAAGATCGGGTTTCTTCGGTAACTACTGATTGTTTCTTGGATTCCATTGCTTGAGTCGCCAATGAGCACTTCTTTCAACCATTCCTTTCAAAGTATGACTCATTTTGTGTTCTACTCATTGCAAATTTACAACACCATTTACAGTATCCCATGCTACAGTACAACGTATTCATCGCGGTAAACGCGCCTCATCGCATTGCTCCTGGGCACGGGGCCACATTAGCATGGAGTGTGCGAGGCTTGAAGTGCACCACTATTCAAGAGTTCATGGTGAGGCACTCTGCTGAGAAATTCCACTAGAGGTCGTTGCGTGGTTTTCTTCAAAAAGAATCAAATCCAACTGATCACTCAAAATTCGATATATTGATTCGTGCAGAATTACCCAACCGGACGCACCATCGGTAGAAGAGCGTTGTTTTGGTCGAAAGGTGTCGCTTAGATCGGCCACCCTACCGCTTCCATACATTATACGAAGTTATACGACATTGATAGCGCACCCAAATCGACTCCGCCTCTCAGCCAGTGCATCCTGTTGCCTAAGTGGCCCTAACAGCCAGTAACATAGGAGCTCAAGCGATTTCACTGCTCCAGATCATTCCTCAAGGACGCTACGGATTGCGGTCCAGGGTCGGTCCTATCGTTGTTACTTTTTGAAAAATTTTTACGACCCCCCTCCCCCAAGGTGGATTTGATACGACCCCCTTTTCCACACCTCGACCACCATCATCGTCTCTATAGTATTAATTCTGATACCACTCAACCCACCAAACTCCGCCCACTTTCCAACTTCCCAAACATCTGCCCCCTTTCCCTCCAAAAAGGGGGGGGGGGGGCGGGGGGGGGGGGGAGAGGTATATAATCACTCTGAAGGCTGAAACGGTGAAATATCTCCGAAAATTTCCTTCTACTTCCACCATTTCAACCCATTTTTTACCTATACTCCACTACTTCCTTTTCTAGGGGGGGGGGGGGGGCTGAAACGGCAAATTTTTATCCTGCGCCCTCCACTCGCCCAGCCTACTACCCACGAAATCTTAGTTTCACCTCAATCCCACACGTGATTTCGAGCGACTAAAGTCGGGTGTTTACGATCAAGTAGCGGACCCCCCGTTGGTACTCTGTACCAACGTAGGGGGTCGTACTTGGTCTAGGTTGACCCTGATTGGGTCATTCTAATAGTAAAGGTCTCCACAACCAGTCTGGTGAAGGGTCACTAGTGACATAGAAAGTGGGGAACTTGGTATGGACAGGATTCCTACCTTGAATGGTGTCAACAACTCACCCTTCTAAAGATCTATAGATTGCGATTTCTGGATCGAAAATATCTCAGATAAGCTAGAATTATTACCATGCAAAACATGTTCTGAAAACTTCGTCGTCGAGTTCCAAAGTTCAGAGGGATAAATCTGTCAGATACCTTTTCAAAGTACTGAAAATTTCACCGTTCTAGAATTGGCACTACACCAGATGTTGAAGACGCTATGATCGTCACACTTGAACAACCACTACGGTATGTACAATAACTCCAAAATCCACAAACCTCAGAATGGTTCTTGGTTTTCAGAGAACCGCGTCACGACCTTGTGGTCTGCATGGCGCCAATGTACATCTACACCGATTGGGAGACACTTCTTGTCGGGATCGAGACATGGCTTGCGCTTGGGGCCACCAAAATTATCGTACCTGTACAGTCAGCTTCATTATCAAGCTACAAAATTCTTCAGGAATACGAAAAAAGAGGTGCTGTGCAAGTTTAATGAGTATAGTTATGTAGAAAAAGAACGGCTAAAAGACCCCTGGCAACTGAAGGTACTGTAGTGTTTCCAAACTCTTTCATGGTACAAAAATAGCCTGTTTCACCGCACGATGGGGTTACAGTACACCAGAAAAAAAGTTGACCAGCCAATTCGCGTGCTCTATTCGTGCGCCACCAGTGAGTGCTTCCTTTCCTTATTTACCTCGACCGCCATTCGCTTTAATCCTGTCCTACTTAGTAGATGCAATAAAAATTTGATCATTATTTCAGAAATATATTAGGTCGGTCCACAATTTTTGAGAACCTTTGGTGTTTTTCGATTTATTACTTATCTTATTTCTCTGATCTACTTATCCAGCATAGTATACATCATTATTATTAACAACATATCGCCAATGCGAGGGTGGGTATTCAGTGCCTCTCTTGTGGACTTTCATAGAGTTCTGATCGAAGGAAAATTGTAGTCCCGAATCAGTTCTCAACCCAATCTGACATCATCAAGTTCCTGTAGGTTTCCTATAGTTCCTTCGGATGACCATCTATAATACTCATTGGTGATGTGGACTGGGTGCAATGTGCTAACAAATCCACGAGCCGCAGTAGATTTGCTCAAACGATTCGGGAGTTCTGACAGTACAAACCCAACTCCCTCTGAATTCGAACTTCCTGAGTCGTTGGCGCAATACGGGAGGGCCTTTGCGCTGAAGACCGGCATCAACTAATACCAGTGTCAGTGATGGGAAGAATCGTTGACAGCTTGATGGCAACGCCTTCAACTTGAAAGCAAAGGAAGACAAAATCTATTTTTTCTGAGGTCGTTCGAGCCCGCCTTGCTAAGAAAATTCCTAAAAAATTGGAGACTCTCGGGCGGTCAGTTCTTTTAGCTCCGCCTTATAGCACTAATCCTGCGTCAACGAACGACTATCCGCTCTCCTCTCTCAATCACCTTCTGGAGAAGAAATCTCACTTGAATCACCATAAAGTCAAAATCGACATCCAATATTTCTTCGATCAGAACTCTATGAAATTCTACAAGAGGGACACTGAATACCCACCCTCGCATTGGTTATATGTTGGTAATAATGGTGATGTATACTGTGCTGAATAAATACATCAGAGAAATAAGATAAGTAATTAAGTCGAAAAACACCAAAGGTTCTCAAAAATTATGGACCGACCTAATATATAAATATAATTATGATGTCTTCATTATAAGTTTGCTATCATTCGACTGGCCCTAATGGCCGTTCGTGTCTTCGGGACTCGAATCCAAATGGGATCCGTTCTCAGCGAGTGAGTGATATATGGAAGTCGCGTCAGAAGCTATATTTTCACATTCTCGTCAATATTTTTTCCGCTAACCCGGATTCGCAGATTTTCTGAGGGTTTCTATGTGCTATTTGTTGTTGAGGGTACGACATAATCTATCTGGCTTTTGATGTCTGTCGATTCTCCTGATGTATGAATTTTCGTGGAATACAGTGCTGTAAATGCAGTCGTAAAAACCCCACAGTTGATATCGATTAATGTGCGATTTTCTGATCGCGATATTGATTACTGACAATTGATACGAAACTTGAATACTGTTACACTGGAGCGATATTTCCCGCTTCAGGCATTGAGGAGTCACATGTGAACTGCTTGTTCTTCGCGAAACCATGGGCGAATATGATCGTCTTTTCTGATATTGACGACCTACTACTTCCAGTTGATCCGATGCAAATTAAAGCCGGCATTAATGTGGAGATTTTGAAGGTAAATATAATAGTACGAGGCGATCCAGTGGCATCATGCGATTCCAGTCCTATAGTGATTTGTGGGGCCACCCGATGTATACAAAATCAGCGTTTTTACCCTCTGAGACAGGTTGATACCTATTAATCGACCGGTGGGAAGGAAAGCTTGATTAACCTGGACGGCGTACAATTCGTGGGCTGTGCGCCTTGAAGGCAGCAATTACGATAGTTCAAGAAGGGTTTAGAGGAGACGTGGTGGTGCTCAATGGTACGCCAGTGGCGAAAAAAGCAGAGAAATCCGTCAAGAAAACGCAAAACGGGACCCCTTTTTTTGGCCGTTGGTTTTCACTCATGAACAGGTAACAGCTCAGAAAGCGGACGTATGAACGAGTTCACGCAACGCGTTTGGTGGCACATGCCAAACCACGCTCCAATCGAGTTGCTCCAGTTGTGCCGCTGCTGGCAACGCAGCTCGTCCAAATCACCAACTAAACTAGTGGGCGGATCGCTTTTGGGGGCGGAGTGCTTTCGAAGTCCTGCTCAGCAACCAGCGCACCTTTCGTCGTGAAAGCGCCACACCTCGCTTCCTTGGCAGCCAAGTAACTGCTTCGTGTGGTGCATATGCTTCCCCGATGCGCTCCCTCTTTATCGTAATCGCTGCCTTTAATGACGCCTTAAAAACTTTTTAAACTCCCACATGAATGTTCATACATCTTTTATTTATTATAGAATTTGTTCGCAGAACATCCTCAAGCCGGATCATTGTTATTCGAGCATCGTGATGTACAGTTCCAGTTGCCTGTTCTACAGGTAATATTGCTCATGTTGACATTATAAACCTAAACAGAGCTCATGGAGACATTCAGGATTCCCCGACCACCCTCGCTAACTTCAATTTCAATTTTCTCACCGAATCAAAATTCAAAATGAACTGTAATGTGTGGAGGATGAAAACACGTGTGGTCGTCAACGCCAGTAAGTTATTTCTTGACTGCAGTTTTGTCGCCGTAGTTCGCGTTGCGAACGTTTGACAAGAATAGTGAGCAAAATCTGGCCCCAGGCTGGATTTGAACCCGCACCTCTTGCTCAACGGGCAATTGTGCCAACACTTCCACTACCGCGGCAGCTTCACCTTCACCTTCACCCTAGCTCAGCTTCTGTTGGTGTTGCTAGTGGCCGCCGCAACCACTGTGATACATAGATCGTTGATACAGTGGAATGACTATCTACATTCGGTCTGCTGTTGAAAAATTGTTAAAACGATCACCTAAAAAACGGTGAAGAAAAGAAAACAGGATAAGAATATTTCGGAAAACAAACGGAAGGGTTAATTACATGAAATCTGACAAATGTTTAAGGTCGAGTTGACTCTGTGAACATGCACGAGACGGGAATTCATCGCTTCGGTTACGTTCAAACCAGGGTACCGTGTCGACAGGTAAGCATTATCTCATTCATACAAATTTTTTAGCGACACTACTTGCGATCTAGAAACGGTTGGTTGATTTACGTGCAACATGGCATGGATATTTGTGCCCTATCAGATTTTTGTTTTCCCTTTCCAGAAAAAAAAACACACCATTACACCCCTTCCGAGCTGGTCACTTCCCTTTGTGCGTGACTGCGGTCTGGCTACTGTACAAAAATTTCCTTGTATGAGAGAACTTTCATATGGGAATATTTTTTGAAAGAACAGTTTTACTATAATTTAACGTCGAGTGTTTTTCTACTGAAATCAGGCACATTTCTACCACTTGCGACATTCCCATCACTCCGTTTCAAATCCGACTCCTATAGATATGCTGAACCTGGCGACAGCTTTGAACAGGTGAGCACGGTTTTATATGTACTTTCATAAAATATTTCAGTTTGCTATACAGCTGAGCCTACAGATGTCAAAGTTGTTAGGATAGTATAGTAATAATTTACTAGCATACTTAAAGGCACATTCCATGACATCAACAATAGGAGGGTTATTGTGCCCGAAGATAAAATGTTTTTTGATAGCGTTAACCAGTAGTCAAAAGCAAGCAGGAAAGTAAATTGCCAGAAAGCTATTGTAGCACATTCAACATGGCTGTGAAAGGTGGGCTTTGCGTTCCGTCTCTGTAGAAGTTTTGTTGGTTAGCGTTCCTCTGACAAGGTGAGGTACGGTGAACGAATGGACCAACCAATGAGACTCCTTCGGAGGCGGAGTCATCGCTTCGCCAACGATGCTCCTGTATTTTCACTAGTTTTGCCTGGTTTTCTGTTCACGTTACTAGAAAATGACTCCACGTTCTCTACTTAATAATCTGAAATATTTCAGTGCCATTAAGGAGGATTTTACAATTAGAATGGAGGTCGAGGAAGAAGTAATTCACCTAGTTGAGTAACCCACGGACCTCCTGAGGGTGCGAACTGATGCGCAATTCGCATCGAAAAATTTGACCTCGGCGACCTATTATGCCTCAAAGTTGGCGGGTCTGGCGATCTCCGCCCACCGACCAGCTGATCACTCGCCGCAGATCTATACGTGGCGATGATTAGATAGCAGAGAGAGCGTGATGTTGAGGAGGGCACAGCGATGAGAGTCGCATCAATGCTCAAATCAACGGGCAAGGAAGGGGTCCCATTTCTCGGGTTCTGGGCCGTTTCTCATGGTTCTTCCTTCTTTCGTGTACCACTCACCATCCCTAGTTAATTTGAAATGGGTTGCCTTTCCAGCGTGAATTCGTCCTTTAAACAAAAGTCATCTCAATAGGCAGTGGTACTCGCGACTCGAAACGTTCCAGGATTTCAAGGACGTACCTTTGAATAAGTCTAGCACCGAATCATTTGAGGTTAGCTGCATTTCCACAACATCTTTATTACGCCTTGCGGTTTTTCACTGGCACTGGCAATGACTGCGATCACACCTTAAATTTTCATTGAATATCGGAAGAGCATTCGATTTGTCATGAATAGTCATATTTTTGAATTTTTTTGATTACGAAGTTCTTTTTTTTTAAATTCCAATGACAGCTTCACTCTGCAATGCATCATTATCGCGCTCAATTCTAAGATAGCATGAATACTGTACTTCCGCTAGGGTCGTGCCGTAATTGCAGACTCGATAGGATGACCATGAAAAAATCAATAGCACAGAGGTTTTTGATGTTCTTGGATGCCAAGTGATCCAATCTCTGTTACTATCTTGTACTCCAGTTACGATCAGCATGCCGGCTGGAGACAAAGTGTGTCAACAATCCGATTTTGGTAATTTTCGGCAGTTCAGGACTCTCGACCGGTCATGGCACGCAAATAAAGCGATGTAGCATGGACGTTGCATGTGAGCGCGATCGCTCAGCAACCCATTCTGTTTCAGTCGTTTGAAGAGGTGAAGAAATCTACCCTAAAATCTCACACTAGGTCGCAACTGCACAAAATTCGTCACATTCCAGTTTTTTTTTTTATTGAATTCACATTAACCGATCCAATGAAATCACTATCTGAGCGTCCGCTATCAGAAACTTGTTGCCAAAGATTCATCGAGAAGTCGATGTCACTCCAGAGGTCGACGGTTTCAATCTGAAAGGGCTGTGAGGTCGACTTCGAGGGTTTTCTTTGAGTCGTAATTTTGTCCGCAAGGTGATTCTTTAGCAAGATGAATGATGGCTTTAGACATCAGTTTAATCACCGTCGCACGAATCGATCTGGTAGGGTACTTCTTAAAGTACGCAGCGAGGATCTGGATCGCATTGTTTCGAAAACGCTGTCCCGGAGGTCGTCTAAGTGGACGCAACCGCATGAATTTCGGCCGTATCGTTGTTTTTTACCACCTTAAAGCAAACGCCCCGCAGAAACCGTGTTGAAGAAATGCCATTATTGTGGGGTACAAGTAACGCCACGAGTAATCACAAATGACCGTTATCGCGGCTGACAGTGCTGCGCAAGCGCGGGTCTTACAACCCCGTCAGATTTCGCGACTAAGTTCGTAAACTGCGTCTGTCTCCGCCCCGTCGTTTTTCTGGGGGAGTTTCGTTTGGGACTTCAGTAACGTTTTCTTCTGCTTCTTTTTTTTATTTAGTCAATTCGCATCCACATAACTTCATTATCAGCCGCATGACTCCACGCTTCGGAATCCGTGGTTGCTTTATCGCATTACCAGGGACGTGAATTTTGGACTGTAAACCTAGGAAAAAACCCCATTGGCTGGTTCACGAGCAGGAATTGGATAGTTTTCAAAGACTCTTTTGGTGAATTCAGGCACTGGAGCTTCTGCAGATGGTTAGCATAGAACCATCACTTCTCATGGGCGGTAGGAGTTGTCAACCCATCGAATTTACTGGATGGTGCAGTGAAGAGGATGCAGACTGGCCTCGTCTTGCTCTCCTGCGATTAAGCTTTAGAGGGCGTTGCTTAGGCGATATAAAAACAATGCACTACAAATCGTTTCGGCAAACACTTTTGGCCGTTACTGTAAGTGTAGTATGTTGCGGAGTCTCTTAACTGCAAAACGAAGCTGGCTAGCGATGGTAACGCAGCCACACGCAGCAAGTTCAGGCAAGATTTTTTAAGAATGCCGGTAGAGGCCACCCGGGAACAGACTTGGAGCAGTTACCGCAGCAGGGTGAATATCGCTTGAGGATTCCTCAACGGCACGTCGAGGATTCTCTGCCCGATCAGACACGATCTCTCGCGCGGACATTCACACTCGCCATGCGCGTGCCGTCTGTGCTCTCCGCGCGGATGTTCACTCTCGGCACTACTCTCGCATGGTAGAGAGCTATGGTCGAGGATTTCCTCGACCGTTATTCACCCTGCAGCGGCAACGCGACAAAGCACCAACGCGTACCGTGAACGTGAATATCGCGCACGGCGAAAAAATTACAACCGGGATATCTTTGTGTGTGAGAGATCTGCTGTGATCTTGACCGTGACTCAGTTTCAGTCTCCCGTCAAGAAATTACCATAGTTTCCTGCTCAATGACGTCACCCATTTGCAAATGCTGCATTGCAGATTGAGTTATTATTTTCAACAACATAAACTACGTATTACCGTATTATTGCAGACATGTGGACTGTGTGGCGGCACGAGCGGAGTACGACTTCTTCCGTTCTGGTTCCGGCTATTTCCTGCAAACGACCAACGTCTCCATTACTGCTTCGGATCCGAACTGTGAAGCACCAGTTCCTCAAATCGTCGCTGGAAATCACTACTTTGCACCATGAAGAGTAGACCAAAGAGACTTAGGCGTCGTTGACTAGACTTAATAAATTAATTAAATGTAACTATGCAATATTTGTAGCAAATGTATGGTCAAAAAGTCGGGCGTTCAATGGTCACCACCAGCTTCACAATCATTGTCGGTAAAGGGTTTTTCTGAAACGACAGAATTCACACCCTGAGGAGGAATTGGACCTTGAAAGATCACTATTTCACCATCACGTGGTTAGGCGAAATTTTGCTTTGAAGGCACGGAGCGCACCCCTCCCCCCTACGCTCATATGATCGACGCGAAACGATATCAAAGGCGGAATTCACGTGTAGAAGGCAGCCCATCGAAGGCAAAAGTCGTCAGTAGCGCCAGAATGAAGGAAAACCTATGAGAAACGGCCCAGAACCCGAGAAATGGGACACTAATGCCACTCATCGGTGCTGCCGCAACGGTTTATTCTCAGCCTTCTAACGGCTTGAGAACGGCCAGTGCTTAGCCAGTCGGTGGTTGTTACCGCGCCGATATCGCCACGGGGAGGGCCGCACTGGATCGCCGGGGCCATATCCTTCGCTGCGAATTGTGTGTCGGTCCGCACCTTAGAGGATATCCGCTTACCTTCCCACTAATGGTAAGTTCCCCTTCGACCTTCGACTATCGTGGAATCTTCCCTTGAGGGCTTTCAGAAGCGTTGTGACTTAATTTTATCACTGATGAATCAAGCATTGCAACAACCTTCCATTTTCGGAGGCAATA